TGGGGCTCTCTTGAGGCTTCTCGTGGAGGTATGTTGGAAGTGATTGGGGCCGTGGGGGTTGGACCAGGGCTATGTTGAAGGCTTTGCTGCTGTTATGTTACTTGTTTTGCGGCCATGTTGGTCCACTTGGCTGCTTTTTCTCTGCCCCGTTTGACTTGGCAGGTGGTCTTTTGCGTACTGTGCGTAAAACACGATAAATCCATGAAACATGAGGTCCGACAAGTGTAAGAAAGGTGGGTTTGACAGTTTTTTGTCGTTTTTGTTGCTTACGAAAGCTAGCCCGAATGGGCAGTCAAATTTGGGGCATGTTTGCGCCAATCTTCGGGGATCTTGGTGCATTCTTAGGGCATATCCTTCTCCATGTTGGCACGTTTCGCCCAATGTTGGGGCTCTCTTGAGGCTTCTCGTGGAGGTATGTTGGAAGTGATTGGGGCCGTGGGATCTATGTTGAAGGCTTTGCTGCTGTTATTTTACTTTTTTGCGGCGATGTTCGTCCACTTGGCTGCTTTTTCTCTGCCGTTTGACTTGGGCAGGTAGTCTTTTTGCGTCATGTGTGTAGAACATCGTAAAAACCGGACAGACTTAGGTCCGACAAGTGTATGGTTTCTCTGCCGTTCGACTTGGGCAGGTGGTCTTCTGCGTAGTGTGCATAAAACACAGTAAAAACCGTGAACAAATTAGGTCCGACTACCCTGCAGCAATAAAATGTTGCTGCTCCGCTTTCCGTGTTTTTCCGACCTGGTTTGCAGGTCTAACAGACCTACAGTACATCCTAAAACATCCCACATCTACAGTAAAAGGATCGGAAGATCAAGGGCTGGCCCTCTTCGCACCAGGAGATCTGCAGACGTTCGCAGCATTTTCAGTGGGAGAAGTCTCAACTGGCGGAGAAACAGAACCTCTGGGAACCTCTGTTCAGGAGTCCTCCGAATTCTGAAACGAGACTAGACATCAATCATGTAGCATCTCAGCCTTCAATGACCGTCAATAGGGTGCTTTTGCTATCTTTTGCTTCACACTGCTCTCACCTCTAAGCCTCACCAGCTGTGCTCCACGCGCGGCTCGCTCCACGATGCTCCGCACGGCTCGCTCCGTTTCATCTCCAAGGCACAGAGCTGATCCAGGAGAGAAAACCTTCCTGAAAGCCCCAGAAAGGTCCAAAGGCTGCCGTGACCCACTCCTCAAGCGTTGGTCTCTGAACTTCGTGGGTCCGCCAGGCGAACGAGACGGTCGTTCACGGGCCGAAACGTCCCAAGACCAGGAAGATCGTGGTGTCCAGTGATGTCCAGCGATTGGAAGACATATCGACTCGTGTGACCATGAGGATCAAAAGTCCAGAGTCACAGGCAACACCCAGAAATTGATAGAATACAGTAGTATCCAGTATCCTTGATAAATAAAACACAAACAACCTTCAACTATACTGAATATACTTTCGTGCTTTGGGGGTTAATCTGGTTTTGATTCTTGACCATTCTTGACCCGCATTCCTTGTGTGGCATCTGCACCCCTACCCTTGTCTGGCCTTAAGGGCCTAGTAAGCCTTGGAGGGTTCTTTCTGGGTGCTCTCTCATGTACAAAAGGCATCGCTAAGCTCCACTCCAAGATTGTTGTGGAAACACCCAGCAAATTTGGACGCACCCTTCAGCTCCACTTTCTTTTCTTTCTTTCACTACTTCAGAATCATGTTCAACCAATTCCATGGGAATTGCAAGACTTGGCTAACACTTGTGGTTCAACACTCTCTCTGTGCCTTCACCAACATCCAGCCACGGAGCTACGAAACCCGCATTGCTCGGGAAGGTGGTGGCCAACTCCGCAGTGATCAGGGCTTCAGGCAAAGACCAAACCAGCGGCATCACCAAGAAGCCTGTTTCATGTTTGGGACCAAAAAGGAACCCCTCCATTGCTCGTTTAAGGTCGTGTTTCGGGTGCAAACCCACAGGTTGCTCGGGGCTGAAGAGCCAGCGGTGCCCCTTTTGTTTGCCGGAGTTTGCAAAAAGAAAAACACTTCATGGTGGCTCATGGCCTCACCATTTTCCACGCTCCATGTTCCTCAAAGTGATCTGAGGCGACTCTCCATCCCGCATGATTCCGGTGTTCCTCTGGAGACATCACCCCACTAAAAGAGACGTGCGTCTATCTGTATATAATATATATTACTACATTATATTACATACGAAAACTGGCAGCTGCTAGCTTTGAACCATCAAAACCTGCTACCTCGTTTCATCCCGTTCGCTTGTTCGTGTCGTTGGCTCTCCGTCAAGCACTCCGTGCGTCCCAACTCCACCGGCTTCGGCAGCCTGCCAGTGACAGCAGCGGCCCAGCAGAGGAGACTGCATCCTGAGAGAAGATAGCAAGAGTTTCACTCGATGGGACGAGATGGCATCAAAGTGGATTGCTGTAACAGTACTGGAAACAACACATTTGCGTAAAGCAATATCTATCTAGGCTAAAATGCTCAAAGTATCTATACAAGAGTTCTGCGGGTTCTGTGGACATTCAGCTACTGGAAAGAGAACCCCATGTGAATCCCTACACCATGGGTCCTTCCCAACCCCTTGCAGCTTGGATCCCAGAACCCTCCAGCCTCAGCACCATAAGGGCCACCAGAAACCGAGTAGTAAATGATGGCCGACAAGCCCAGCAGCGAGAGCCTCGTGCCAATCAGTGCGGCCACACGTGCGTCTGAACCGTCTGACTCGGACGAAGATGGGTTGGCCTATCTGGTCATCATGTGACTTGCACCTCACGAGCACGGCTAAACCTTCTCATCCTTGGCATGAACGTATCTATGATGTCCGAAGTGCAATGGACCATGGGACCACCCCCCCGATGCCTAGGACGGCGTGGAGACGCTGCCATGGTTTTTCAGTCGTCGCCATGAAGCTCATTCAACTCATCCTGTGCATCTTGTGATCTCCATGGTTTCAGCCATGTGAACATAAATAGCTCGTTTGGTTTTTGTTCACCACGCCGAATACCATCTGGGCGCTGTCGTTGCACATAAGGCTGATTTAACGCTCTTGTAGAGTTGGTGTCTAAAATTCTAAGGTTTCTGTGACTTCTGTGTAGCGAGGTTCACAAACTCCACATCTTGCTAGGAAAAAATCGCTTTGGCCTCCATTGCACCAAAAGCCATGAGCTTTGAATTCCTGTTTATTTGTTGTTGCAATGGCTGCGATATGCAACAAACGGATATAGTTTCAACTCACTGACTTTTGCTCAGCTGATATCCGGATCTGTCAGGTGGTTACTTTGCAGCGACAACAACGTGTTGCCAAATGTTGCAATCATCTTCAAGTGTAACAAAACAGAATGTTGAGCAAACCAAAGATTGTCCTCAACATTGGGATACTAGTAGTCATGGAAAACGGTTATGGTCCAAACTCCAAACTTTCCGAGCATCAGAGTATGAGTATGGTCATTGTATGTGAATATATATATATATACATATGCATAAAATTCATGTCATGGTGACACTGCAGTACCGCCATACAATTCCTCTTGCCAAACGAGACGTATGTTGGTTTTGCGCACCTCTTTGTAGTTGGCGATGACGATCACGTGCTGAACGCCTTCCTCCTGAGTTTTCATGTCGGGCAGGTGCGCTCGGCAAATCAGCGTTGGCCAAAATGTAATTTGCCCAAAATGCTGACTGAATGCATGTTCGAACTTTTTTTGTGAAGACCCTTTCGCAATGCAGGTTTTAGATCTTTAGCAATGTATGGCAATGAGCACCCGAACGCGGCTCAAAAATTGGAAGGCTGCGCAGAGCGCTTTCGAGAGCTTTCGCAGAACAAGAAGCACTTCACACATTTGCTTTCGTGGAAAGTTAACAAGTTCCACTTGTGCATGTGTCCTTTCGAACAAAAAAACACGTTGCTCAATTGAACATCTCAGACTGTGTGACACCGTTGCGGGACACACGACACTCTTCTAGGACAGTCTTGTGGAACACTCCTACGAGGCATAGTTGCAAATGTAGCAGGCCACTCTTCTAGGACACTCTTGCGCGACACTCTTGTAGGACAAGCTTGTGGGTCACTCTCGTGTAGGACGCACTGCCCGCACCAGCGACGTGACAAGGCGCATTTACACCTACATGCGTTCCTTTCCCCACGGAGACACGCAAACATACTTCCCACCAACGCCTTGCATTGCGCAGCGAGATCACAGACAGAATTTCGCAACACAGTACGTTTGAGGGGCAATCGTGGGCCACCCCTGCTTTCTTCCCACAAGCTATATATATATTATAGTATCTACTACATCTGCCTTACAGAATGGCCACTTCTGAGCTAGACCGCTGGACCCCAGAAAATCAGATGGGAAGTCCACTCCAATATATTCACGCGTCAAGTCCAAAGCGAGCACTTCGCGCACGAGGCAAGCAGAAGCGGGGGGAGGAGAAAACCATCCGCCCGCACCCATCGCGCAGCCCCTACAGCACCAAGCAGTTTCACCATCCAAACTCAAAAATGAAACAGCTGACGATTTTAAGCCCAAAAAAACGGTACGGCGACCAAGCACTTTCGCACCAAACGTTCCGCCGCATTTTTGCCGCTCTTTCAAATTTCGTACGAGCCTTCCTCCAGGAATGAAGTCTCATCAAGGTGTAGGTTTTATTTGGGGTGTTAGGGACAACTGACAGATCAACTGACAGCCGGCCCCAGAAATTATTTGGGTTTCGGCCCCAGAAGGCCATGAATCTCCGTCTTCCACTTCTCGCCTCCTCTCACCTCTTCTCGCACAAAGGAAGCGTCGCGCGTTCGCGTCGCGCGGCGTCGCGCCTGGGGCACTTCGATGGCCTCACTTTTGAGTTCATGGGCGACCTTCCGGATGCCCAGTAAACACAAGGCGCCACTGTAGCTCATCCCCAGACCTCGGTCCCGGAAGAACAGGCTGCCGAGATCGTCCCACAGCGAAGCCGGAAGAGCTGGGAGCTGGTTCGACAGCTGGATGCAGGTTGGGTCGGGATTCAGATGCAGAGGATCAGTGGATGAAGGGAGTGGGAGTCCTGCCGTTTCTTTGCTGAGGCTTCCCACAAAGGCTGATATTCAAAATGGCCTCAGGATGGCCAAGTGAACAAGCAGGTCGGGAGCATAGATTTATGATGATTTATGTTACTTCACATCTCTCTCTCGAGAGAGAGAGAGAGGGAGAGTCAGAGAGAAAGAAGAATCCATTTCAGTAACTAAGTTTGAAGACTTGTGGAACTGCCAGGCAGTTCTTGGCTTCTTGTGGCAAGTCCTTCCAAAGGCACATTCTGCTCAGATCCAAACGCACAAAGTGAGCCTGGGCCAATGGTCCGCAGGATCCGGCGCCAAGCACTGAGTGACCAGCGCCCGACAGGGACAGTGCTTCCCAATAAGACAAAGACTTTGAGGAACGATGGCCTCCAACCTAGTAGAGATGGCCTCCAACCTTCAGTAGAGATGGCCTCCAACCTTATAGTAAACAATGAATACCTGAACATGTTCCGGATGGGCCATCTTCTTCCCTCCGCATGGGCCGTTGATGTTTGTTAGCGAATCCGATGGCTGAAGACTCCGCCGGGCAACAGGAGCCGATCCGACAAGGCGAAGCCCAGCGCGGCCAGGGCCACCACCTCAAACGCGCCGGAGACGCACGGGGCGGGTGCCAACGCCCGGCGCAAGCCCGGGAGCCCATACGATGAGTGGAGAGTTATTCCTGGATGTTGCTGTTTTGTTTCGTGTTTCCTCTATCAAACTAGCATAAACTAGCAAACTGGCAGGTCCTGGAGTTTGAGTCGCCAGCAGGATGTGCGTGTCATGCCCTCAAAAAACCTCCAAATTCCCAACATCCGGGAGCAATAGACTGTCCTGATTGTGTTGGGCTGCAAGTGGGACTACTTACGCTCTCCAAGCATCGAAACCTATGGTGATGGGCACCCTATCTTCCTGCCAATCAAAGGACCAAATCGAAAAAACATGAAAAAAGAACGTACAGTCAGGTGAGCTCAATACAGTACCACTTCCCGCAACGACAGTTCCGGAACTTCCACCTAAGACGGTGCTTTGCCTCAAAGCAAGGAGGAAGTACGATTCACATCATCTGCGCCGGCACCGCACCACTGGAGATTTTTCAACATCGTCTCTCCCACTGGGCATCTGAGCCGACAAAAAGCAGAAGAGTGGGAAGAGTCGAGCCTGAGGCGAGGCTGAGTCTCGCGTGGGGCGACGTGGCAGGCCACTGGCGTTTGACTGTGTGTGATCTTTTTGGAATCTAAATTCTAAACCTCAAAGAAAGCAAACGGCTTTCCCGATGACCATGGTTCTGGCCTCTCCACAGTCTTTGCCAATACGATCAAAACGATTGGAAGAAACTACCAGCTCCACAGTCATCTCCGTGATTGCTGGTTATAACTGTTCTGAGTTTGAACTTGATTAGCCTGACCCACTGCCATTTCGTTCATCTCAATATTCTTGGACAGAACGGACGACCTTCCGATCTTGGTGCTGCAGGAGCTGCGCAATCTACAACCCTTCTAAGTAAATTGTCGGTCAAGTCCAGTTGTACAAGTGGCTTTCAGCCCTATAATTGGTAGGAATTCCCCTACCCCTCGGGGGTGATCATTTTATAGATCTGATTTGCGCCCCCAGGGGTTTTCACTATAAATCTAGACACGCAGAGGAGGAACAAAAGGCTAACATAGAATCACACCCCTCATGGTTGCAATCTGGACCTGATAAGACATGCTCTCCGAAGGTGGTCCACTATAGAATCACCCACCCCAATAGCCGTATCAGGTCTATAAAGTTGATAACATAGAGCAAGTGCCTTAATACTGTAATTCTTTAGTGGTTCAGTGGTTCCCTGACAAAGCAGCGGGCATAAATGATTCTATATACTGGTCTGGTCCCCAGGGCGTGAAATTCTTCAACTCGATCAAACAACATCTGTGGACCCAGGGTTTATTTTCCCAATGCTTACGTGGTATCTATAAAGTACCAGACCCTGAGGTGGGTCATTCCAAATTAAACCAAGAGTTTGATTCTCTATCGAATAGCATCTATAGCATGGTCAAAATCGACCCCCGAGGGTCCATGGTTTATAGAGGACATTCACGCCTTTATCCTAGATTATGTAATACTTAGTTATATTTATGACATGTGAAACATATTGAAACATTGTGAAGCTAGTCCTCATGTTCACCACTCAAGCGTCCCATTATGTCCCATTCCAATCCGTTCCACGCCGTCGCATCTTGCTCACCCCATTGCTATGCGTCACCACATCTCTGGCGGTCCAAGGTCCAACACAACAGGCGTCCCGTCAAAGGTCGCGGTGCGACGTCGCTCATGGATGTTGCTGCGATGGAAGGTGAAGTCGAGATTCTCCTGCAACGAAGCGCCACGTCGGACCGGAGCGCTCTCCCCGTGGGGCTTTTGAAGCGACGACTCAGTTCGGTGCGGATCCCCGAAGAAATGGATGCCGTCGTCATGAACGGCCAGGGGATGTGAGAGTCCGGTGTGATCCTTTGGAGCGGATTCTTTCAAACTCATAATGGTCAGCGAAAGGCTAACAAGAAGCTACGTTCGGGGCTCCTGGCCGTATACTACTAGGAGCGAAAAGACGCTATGGACGCTATATATAGGGGCTCCTGGCATCGCTACGAACGGAGCAAGGACGCTACCGAGATCTACCGAGTAACAAGAAGTTCACAAAAAAACAGCCAAACATCGGAAACACCCAGATCTCCCCAGCCTCTCCCAGATGCTCCGCACTCATGGAGACCATGGCCATGGGTGGAACGTTTGCAGGCTGCGGACACGAACCGCAGCACGTCCAGACGTGAAGAAAGATGATGAATGATCAACTAAATGCTGATTTTGGGTGACAGGAGGTGTCCATCCTTCTCAAGCTCTAAACATGCTCTAACCATCTGCACGATCCTTTTTTTCCATCTGTGGAGCAGAAACGATCTCGGGATATCTTGGCCGATTGGGGACTTGGTGGTGCAAGGCACAGGGGATCAAACCAAGGGTAGTTGGGGTCCTATAATCTACTTTTCTCTCTACCTCTACGTCCGTGATCCCCTTATGTTAGATCACATTCACTTGCAAGCAAACATCTGACCTTGCCAATGCTGGCACATTCTGGCAAGCAGGGTTGTTAGATGTTGCTAGTAATG